ATCTTCCCATCTTCTGGTATCTTGTTTAATTTTTTTCTCAAAAGATCTGAAAGTTTTATTATGCAGGTCTTTCACTTCCTTGGTTAGAGATCCCCAAGATAATTTATATACAACACACACACACACACACACACACACACACACACACACACACACACACACACACTTTTTAGGCTATTGTAAAAAGTGTTGTTTCCCTGATTTCTTTCTCAGTATATTTGTCTCTTGTATACAAGTAAGCTAGTGATTTTGTTGAGTAAATCTTATATCTAGCTACTATGCTGAAAGTATTTATGAGTTAGTTGTAGGAGTTCCCTCATGGACATTTTTAGGGTTACTTATATATACTATCTTATCATCTGCAAATAAATATACTTTGACTTCTTCCTTCCCAATATGTATCCCCTTGATCTCCTTCAGTTGTCTTATTGCTCTAGCTAAGTCTTCAAATACTATATTGAATAGGTATGGAAAGAGCAGACAACCATGTCTTGTTCTTTGTTTTAGAGGAATTGCTTTGAGTTTCTCTCTGTTTAATTTTATGTTGCCTATAAGCTTGCTGTAAACTGCATCTATTATGTTTAGTATGTCCTGTCTATCACTAATCTTTCCAGAACTTTTATCATGAAAACGTGATGGATTTTTATAAAAGGACTCTTCTGTGTCTAATGAGATGATCATGTGTTTGTTTGTTTTCTCTTTCAGGTTGCTTATATGGTAGATTTCATTTATTGATTTTCATATATTGAATCACTCCCACATCTCTGGGATGAAGTTTACTTGATCATAATGAATGATCTTTTGGATGTGTTCTTAGATTTAGTTTGCAAGTATTTTATTAAGTATTCTTTTCATCTATGTTCATAAGGAAAACTGGTCTATAATACTCTTTCTTTGTTGGGTCTTTATGTGGTTTGTGTGTTAAGGTAACTTGGTCTCATAGAATGAATTGGGCAATGTTTCAATGAACAAAATCACACAAGCTGAGCGAGGAAAATATGAAACAGTACAGCGTGAGGAGAAAAACATCACCAAGAAATGTTTTGTTGAAATGAAGTCCAGTACTCAAGGAGATAAAAAGTTTTTAAAAGCCTGATGCTAAATGGAATACTGGGAGTGGTAGTCTAAGGGTAAGACTCCACCCAGCTAAGCTTCCAACCTGTGAAAAAGAATTAAAGAAAAGCTTAAGCAGTGAAGAAAACCATCCAAAACAGAGCATTGATGAAATGTAATTGAACAGGACAGCCATGTTCCATCTCCAGCAATGAGCAGAACTTGCCACCTTTTGCAATGTGGTTCTGCTTTTATAGTGCAGGATACATGAAAAGGATTATGTAATGTCTCTCTTTGATAAAAAATGAAAAGCTGCTGATGCCACAAGGGTGTCAGAGATGTCTCTGAATGTAGCACCAAAGATGCCGTTTCATGAAGCTGTGTAGGTGAAGCTTAGATTTTGTTGGAGATCCCAAGATGTTGGAGATGCCAGATGTATAGGATACTGGGTAAGGGAAGTTTCAGACCAGGTGTAGAACCAGACCAAGGGAGAGAAGATTGTAGTAGTCAACAAAGATGAAAGGAGTTGGAGATCTGAAGAGCACTTTGACATCAGACGTAGAGACTGAGAGCTTAGTGTTTGCCCTGCTGGGTTTTGGTCTTGCTTTGGTCCAATATTTCCTTACCATGCTCCCTTTCCTCCATTTTGAAATAGTAATGTATATTCTGTGCCATTGTATGTTGGAAGTATGTGTTTTGCTATTGGATTTTGATTTCATGAGGGGGGTTACACTTAAGAGATTAGTATGAGTCTCACAGAAGACTTTGAACTTTTAAACAGTGTTGAGACCGTTATAGACTATGGGGACTTTTTTGAAATTATGGTACAGTTATAAGCCTATGAGGAGTAGGGGGTAGAATGTGTGTTGTGAATGAGATTGTCCCCCATAGGCTCATGTATTTGAATGCTTAGTCATCAAAGAGTGGCACCATTTAGAGGGATTACAAGGTGTTGGCTTGTTGGAGTAGATATGGCCTTGTTTGTGTGTGTGTGGGCAGGTGTTACTGGGCCTGGGTTTTGAGGTTTCAAAGCCATTGGCTCTCTCTCTTCCAGTTGCCTATGGATCCATATATAGAGCTCTCAGCTACTTCTCCAGTACCATGTCTGCCTGTGTGTTGCCATGTCCATTGCCTTGATGAGAACAGACTAAACCTCTGAAACTGTAAGCAAGCCTCAATTAAATGTTTTCCTTTATATAAGTTGCCATAGTCATGGTGTCTTTTCACAGCAATAGAACACTAAGTAAGACAACTTTTTATCTCCTTGAGCACTGGACTTAACTCTGTTGTATTTCCTATTGCTCCTTTTCTCCTCAATCTCTACACTTTGTATTTCTCTTTGTCTAGCTTGCTTTTTTTCATTATAAATCTGCATAAGAGTGACCACTAAAAACCACATGACATAGTCAATATGAGGCTATTTTGAAATATCCTCAGCAAAGCAATTAATACAAAGCTCTTCAATTTAGCCTCAAACAGATTTTTAGGACAAGGGAATAAAGCAGCTACATTCTTTGTCAGAGTAACACAAGAATGATAACTAGGTTATTTACTAATATTCTTCCCCTCTAAAACCTCTTGAACTAGACCATCATAATCTACATTGCTCTCAGTGCCACTGCCACAGTTTTACTAGTAATGCCCCTTAATCCCTGCTTAAAACATTCAGTTTTAATTTGGATTATTTCCATAATCCAAAGTCCCAAAGTCCACATTCAGGCTTGTCACAGCAGTCCCCACTCCTGTTCTGTCTTAGTCAGAATCCTAGTGCTATAAAGAAAGAGCATGATTAAAGTAACTCTTATAAGGAAAACATTTAACTGGGGCTGGTTTACAGTTCTGAGGTTTAGTCTATTATTTTCACAGTGGGAACTATGGTATCATGCTGGCAGACATGGTGCTGGAGAGGCAGCTGAGCATTATACATCTGGATGGACAGACAGTGAGAAGAGAGAGAAATGTGGCCTGTCTAGAGAATTTGAAACCCCAAAGCCCATACCCTAGTGACATACTTCCTCCAACAAGGCTATACATCCTAATCCCTGTCAAGGAGTTCAACTCTTTAATGACAAAGCATTCAAATATGTGAGCCTATGGGTTCACTCCTATTTCAAGCCAGCACACCGTCCTACGACAAGTAAATGACTATGAAGGAAAACTTTTCAGAGTATGTTGAAGTCATGATAATTCTAAATGAATGAGGATTGGTCTTGGGATTCAGCATCTCAGAAGAATACTAAAAATGAGAATGTCTTAAAACAAGATCAATGCATTATGAAATAATCTTGTTTCTTGGACTAGCTCTGTCAAAAGAGCTGTGTTAAGTCAAACTGCATTATTAGAGGAAGCACTACTTTGTTTAGCTCTATAAAATCCAGTAATTCTCCTATACCTATCTGCTTTCTGAACATGCAGCACAAAGCTTTTGAAATTACTTTGGCCCCTTCTAATGAACTTCTAAAATTTCTTGATGATTTCTATATTTTCTTTCCTTCCCTTTGGAAGTATATACTGTTTAATGTCTACAGCCTTACATAGAGTAGGTAACTCTCTAGGATCCTTTCATCAAACCACGAAATGGCTGCCTCTACCGCTTTCATTGTCCAGTGAAACTCTCCAGTGGTGGTATGCATACTATGTTCCAACAATATATTCACCTCAGTGTATTCTTCTCCATTGGGGAAATGCAAATCGTATGTCCCCTCCAGGGGAGAGTATTAATTTCCCCATCACTACAAATGCCTAGTCTTTTTGACTTCACCATTATATTTCCATATCCATCTCGTGCTGCCCATTGTTCCTAAAACAATCCTCCCCAGGATCGACTGAAGCCTAGGTATATTACACATTAGTAGATTACTAATAATAAGGATTCTCATCATGCCACTTGAAACTATCTTGTCACTATTGCAAGCCTTTCCTCTCTCTTCACCAGGGAATGTTTCAGTTCACAACAAACAGCTACACAGCATGTATAGTGGAATAATATTTAGCTATAAGATGCAATAAAATCCTGCCATTGGTTATTATGTGAAGTTAAATGAGGCAGATACAGAATGACAGGTACTGCCTGATGTCATTCACATGTGGGACCTAAAAATGGTCTCTAAGAAGTAGAGAGTAAAATAGTGGTTACCAGAGTCTGAGGGAAATAGATAGGAGATAGGGATATGAGGAAAGGTTGATCCATGGAAAATAAGCTCTTTTAGAAAAGATCAAACAGTTCCAAAGTCAGTTGTGTGACTATGGAAAACAATGAACACCAAAGTTCAAAGGCTCAAAGGAAAAAATTTGAAGACAAATGTGTTTAGCTTGATTTAAACATGCTGAATGTACATGTATTGAAACTACTAGATGGTTTTGTATCATTTTTTTAAGCAAACAATTAAAATATAAGGCAGAAGGGATGTTAGACTATAAGATGCATGGAAACTGCACTCCTTAAGGTTCCATAGCAGCAATCATAGCAACTACAAGCTGGTTATTTCTTATTACATCTAAATAAATTATTAAAGGAGCTATTTTTCTACTTCATCTAGATCTAACTATTAATAAACATTTCAATTCATTGTTTAATTTTATTTCCTCATCATATAAAGACGCATACTAATGTTTATTATCAACTTTAGATTTTCCTGTTAAGAGAAAAGCAGAATGTAAAACATTTAATAGATTAAAAATACAAATATAATAGAGAATAAAACAAAGCACTATATACAAAAATTATATATTCTTTATGATTCTAATCTAGCAGATTAACCATTTTAAGGAAATTCTTTTGTTGATTTCAGGCAGGGTTCTACTTTCTTAAGGATACTTTTTTTTTCAGTAAAAATTCAAGCTATGCAGACAGAGGTCCACTTAATCCAATAAGAAAGACATCTACCCTGTGTGTCTGATTGTCTTGGCTTATCATTTAAACCCTTCACATTTGGGGTTTCTTTCTATCTTCTGAGCCACTAGAGTATTATGGCAATTGTCTCAAAAATCAGTGACTTGAAATCCTCTTTCGGATTGTTTGTTCAGGGCTTAGCGCCGGCTTTCCAGGGTACTCCTTTCCTGGTGCTATATTTGGCCGTCGTTGTTGCCCAATAAAAGCTCATCCCACTTTACACTACATATGGTTTTTAAAATCGTGTTTTGCATTTTAGAGCTGTGACTTTTTGTGTGAAACGTTTCTAGCAGCATCTTTGTCATTGTGGTGAGCTTCGGCGTTGTCACTGAGATTCCTCTGAGAGACCATCAGTCTTCTCTGGATTATCAGGTTTGCAGGACCAACCTAGAGCTCTGGCTGTGGATCCTGGATGTGAAATCAGGTACACGGTTGTTTCCGATTCCAGGGATTTCCCTTTTCACCCAGGTGAGTGGAGGGCTCTGTACACTAGGTACTGTCCAATAATTATGGAGATCTATGTGAAATATAACAGCTAGTCACTTCATCATGACCGTGATGTGAGAGATAGAATAAATGATTTCTTCAATTTCTTTCTAATTATGCCTTTTCCTCCTCAGATTGTAAGAGAAAATTGTAGGGTAGTCTTCATAGAGTATTTTCATAACTATTTGAGTTACTTGTTTTTTTTACTTTAATTGCTATTTTTGTTAAGTGTAGATTCCAGAAATAAAACTCAAAACCACTGTGCAGAAAATACTTTTTGCCTTGAACATAAAAAGAGTATACCTTTCCCTTGTGCAGACTGATGGAGAGGTGCATTCTAGGTAAAGAAGGACCCTCTCCTAGTCAAGCCCCCTTGATTTCCAAAAGAAAAAAAATGTCTCTTTGCAAGGAAATCACTCTTTAGTAACTCACTTCTTTTTTCTCATGGTCAGGTTGGCTGCCTCTCCAAACACCAGTGAGTGCTGCATGTTCTGACATACCCTGAAGTCATGCATTAGCACCTTCTCACACAGCAAAGGGTGAGAACAGATATCTTTTGGCAGCTGACAGCAGGGTGCATGTAGAACCAGGGGGGAAGGGAGTGGGAGGACAAGGACACTGTGGTAGCCTAGTGGCTAGCAGGACAAATGCACCAGCTGTGAAGAGCCCCCTTTCCCCTCCCACCTACCCAACAGATGTCTCTCTGTCACTGTCATGTCCTCAAGCTATCCCAGTAAATGATTTCTGCATTGCAACTGAGTCACCAATGTGGCAATTGAACCTCTTCACAGCTCAAAATTGTTGATGTGTGCACGGCAGCCCTGTGGTTGTACTGCATGCATGTAGGAACAGGGATGGGCTTGGGAGGGGCGGAGGGGGAGGAACTGAGGAAAAGAATGAGAAAGGGAAGCTGGAGGCAGAGAGGATAGTGAAATGTCAAGGTTACCTCGCTCTGCCTGGGGAATTAAAAGAGATTGCACATTAAGGAGGACGCCTCTATCCAGTCCTTTGGCTCTCTTAGGCTGATGCAGCTCCTTACTGCTCTGGTAGATATACATATCACTTTGAAAGATTAAAAAATGAAGAATGCAGTGATCTGTATTGTATATATGCTTTATTCTGTGGAAAGAATGTTAATAAATATACTGGGAGCCTGCAAAGTTTGCCAATATAAATAATGTGGCATTTCAAAGTCTGTCAGTAAATGTAATTGAATTTTTCAATGTAAAAATACAGTTTAGTTATAAATTGGAGTCAAACTTGACATTAGTTGGGCATTAGAAGATATTAATTAGATACTGTTCACTTCTCTCTCATTTCTTTGCATTAAATGAATTATCAGGAAAGGGAAATTTGCAAGCACGAAATTTAGATTTTTTTTTCACAAAAAAATAAGCTGCCTAGTAATATTTAGTAGAGGAATAAATGCTTTTCTTTTCTCAGAAACCTTGTCAGTGAGCTGTCTAAAATATGTCCTTCCCAATATGAACACAATATGGAAAGCTAATCCGTTTTAATACTTTGTAATGATAATAAGCTACAGTGAACAAGTAGCCTAGGGAAAAGACAGTTGTAGACATCTTTAAACAGGAAGAGAATAGCAGGTAATTGTACATTTTTACACTAGGTTGAAGACAACATTTCTTATGACTTTGAACTACTTTGGCTGTCACCATCCTGGCAAACATTTTGCATATCAATCAGATAGTCATATTTCTTTCATGGCATTTACATCAAAATGTAGACATTTACTTACGTGATCTTTATATGTAGTGATGCTGCTCCTATGTAATGAAGATACCCCTTCGTTTTACAGATGCTGGATTTAACTTGGAAGTGTTAAGACCATTTAAACCTCAGTACCATGTGTACTTTTCCTTGTGTTGATAATATCGCTAGATCAGTTTTTCATCTCTCTTTGCATGTGTTTCTCTTATGCTGAGTGAATGAGAATGTGCATAGGTACGTGTGTGTGTGTGTGTGTGTGTGTGTGTGTGTGTGTGTGTGTGTATGGTGTGTATGGGTTCATGTGCATGTATTTGTATGCAATATGTGTGTGCATTTGCATGTGTGCATGAGTATGTGTGTGTGCTGCATGGGTTCATGTGCATGTGTGTATATAATGTGTATGTGCATTGCATGTGTATGTATGTGCATTTGTGATTTCGTGTGTGTATGTGAGTGAACATGTTCATGTGTGTATGTGCATGCATATGTGTGCGTGCATGTGTGTATGTGAATGTGTATATATGTGTGTGCACCTGTGTGTGTTTCCTACTGTTCATTAGTTGAAGTGGGAATCCAGAAATAGATACTTGTATATAATCTTTTATAAGATCTGTTGATTTTTTTGTTTTGTGTTTGGTATAATGTTGTAATGTATTCCAAGTAAAAGAAATGTAAGTAGACAGTGACTTAAATTACATAATTTTAGATTTTTCTCAGTATTGAGTGGGATACTCCACGTTACCTCAGATTTGGAGAAAATTGTATTTAAATCATGTGTTTGAACTTTTCAATAAAATTTTCTTAGTATCTAGAGGCTATGAATTTTAGCCTGAAAAAATTTTGATAATATTAATACACATGATCTTTTACTAGAAACAATTTTGTGAGTATAAATACTTTGATGTTTACACAACATTGAGCATGTGGGGGAGAGAAGCTAGGTAGTCTCCTAGCTGGATTTCTACTCCTGAGATGAAGACTGTGACCACGTCACTTGGCCTGGAAAGGGTTTATGTGACATAGAAGCCAGTCTCATGAAAGGTAAATCTGTCTATGTCAAGTTGGCAGAAAACCAAGCAGGTATGTAGTCAGATGCTTTTTCTGGTCCTGCCAGGCCCCCCGCAGTCCCATGGCCCACTTATAAAATAATCACTCAGAAGCTTGTATTAATTATAACTGCTTGGCTATTAGCTCAGACTTATTAATGATTAGCTCTTACACTTAAATTAACCCATAATTCTTATCTATGTTTAGCCACGTGGCTTGGTACCTTTTCTCAGTTCTGTCTTGTCATCTTGCTTCCTCTGTGTCTGGCTGGCGACTCCTGACTCTGCCCTGCCTCTTCCCAGAATTCTCCTTGTCTGCTTATCCCACCTCTACTTCCTGCCTGGCTACTGGCCAATCAGCGTTTTATTAAACCAGTGCACAAGAGCACTATCCCACAGCACAGCTGGCTAGATACGTGTTGGCAAGCCTGAAGACCACTGAGCATGGAGCCCACCTTCATACTCAGTAGTTTGTGAGGGCAAAAACTGTAAAGGCAAGATGCTTGTAAATGGAATGGGATCTGAGTCTGTCTCTGCCCCTGGGAGGACATATGAGAATCTATCTGCAAGATAATAAGAACACTGTACAGCTAACTGATAACTTTCTGGTAAAGAACAATACCTTATCATTGTAATTGTATTCAGTTTGCATTTCATACAAATATCAGTGATCAATACATGGTTAGGAAAACATTTTGTAGAGAAAGTTTGCTGTGTTAGACTTTAGGAAGAATATAAAGTCTACCTAAAATGTAGCTTATCACAATAGCCCTTTTGGCCACTTTTCCATCCTTACCCTTTGAGAGCACTACACTTTTCTAAGTAAGAAATCACCTGTCATCTATATTACACTCTTGTGTCATATATGAATTCTTTCAAAAGAGATCCCAGAGGCTGGGGAGCTATAGGGAACCCTGAGTGAAATTCTGCTAATAAGAGTATGGCAATGTGATGGAGCAGTAACCTAGCTGCTTGCTACAAAAATAAATAAATAAACTAATAAACAAATAAATACCTGTAGGCCTTTAAGTATCTAACTATATATATATATATATGTATATATATTAGCCATAATGTAAGTACTAGCCTGCCATTCTTATGTATGCATCGATTATTAACAGTAATATACAGAGGGAAAAGGATGGAACAATGAATCAAAGCTGAGACTTAGCAAATAAAAAAGTAATGAAAGGAGAAATGGATCAAATCAGAAATATTCCACCTTTTTAAAAGAGTATCTCCTTCCTGAAAGAGCACCCAAGGCACCTGCTTGACCAACTCAGCTGCCATCTGGGACCAGATCCAGCACTTGGAGTAAGTCAACCTCATCACCTACTCCATCTAAGAGCTGCTGGACAGGAAGAGGAGCTGGCGCTGCAGAACTAGATTCGGGAACATGTCGTCACCACCGAAGATGTAAACCTGAAGCATGGCTGTGATCGAATGTAGAGAAAGCGGCTCACAGCCTCCACTGGACTGAGAAGCTGCTCTGAGGAGCCTGAGAGACCCGGGGAGGGCCTCCTGAACCTGCAATATCCCTGGAACAACAAAAAAAGAGACAGGTCTTATGGAAAGATGCTCTTAAAAAAGTGAACTCATGACATTGGAAAGAAAGATGGCAGACCAGAGCCATGTGTGGGGTACAAGAGTGAAACTACATGTGTGAAGGAGGGTATGGGAGCCTCGCAACAGCAGACAAAGAACATGGCGTTGCTGAATAGATCCAGTCCTCTCTACTACTCGGCATTCTGGGAGAGAAAGAGCACCGGGCCAGGGCACTGCCCGCGGACTCCAAGTACAAAGATCTTTCGTGATGTTTCTCAGAGTAGCTGTCATCAAAGGCAGGGAGGAGTGTGGCAGTCTGGGGTCTGGAGCTTGCTAGGATCCTAGCCCCAGATGCTCTGCCTGGCTCTGCGCATCAGCATAATATCTGAAACAAGAGTTTGGAGATGGTCCAGTATTTATGGCCCCTCAGAGATTAAAGTCCTCAAGCCAGACCAAAGACTTGAGGCAATAAGCATTCATTCGCATATAGAGCTGTTTGGGCTAAAAATATACTGAGTGATGCGTTGCAGTTCCCAACGCCACGGCCACTAACGAGTTTGCAATGCAGGGGAGGGAAAGACAGAAGAATAGAGGTGGAGAGAGGTGGAACTATGGCAGCCCTGAGCTGCCACTGGAGGCCATGTTGATGTGCATGGCCTGTACTGCCACCCAGAGGCTATGTTGATATCTGTGCCTTGAGCAGCCAATGGGAGGCCATGTCTGGGTCTCTGGTCCTGCTACACCTGGAGGGCATGTGGATGTCCGTGGTAGCCTGTGGAGAGCCATGTGGATGTCCTTGGGCTGAGATGCTGCTGGGGGCCATATAGATGTAAGTGGCCTGTGCCACTTGGAACCATGCAAACTTCCGTTTTCTCTGCTGCTGCCTGAAGCCATGTTGATTTGCGTGTGCTGGCTAGGCTACCACTGGCAACCGTTTTAGTGTCTGGGGCCTATACTGCCACCGGAGACGATGCTGAGGTACGTGGCATGTGCTGACACCAGAGGCTGGGTGGATGTCCAAGGTCTGTGCTGTTGCCAGATACCATGATCTGTGGTCCTGCTGACTGTAAAGGACAAGGAAGCTTCTCCTGTGGTGGTATTGCTGACTGCAGACTCATAGTTGATCTATATCTATATCTATATCTATATCTATATCTATATCTATATCTATATCTATATCTATATCTATATCTATATCTATATCTATCTATCTATATATA